TCTCACCTCATCTCTCTTTCTCCTCTTCATCACATCAACCTCTTTCTTGCCCCTGTTTCCTCGCCTCATTCAGGTTCCACTGGGATTACGGGGGGGTTCTAGGTAGGCTTGGGAAATCCATTTCCTGAGTCTCCCCCCAGTAAGTCTCCCCAGATGACCCATTATCCTCACACCTAATCCATCCATCCCCACAAATCCTTTCTTCGCTGAAGCTTTAAGCTCAAATCTTTGTGGCATGCTCCTGGCTGGTGAGTTGCTTTATTTTTGGACAGTATTGTAGATTATAAAGGTTTTACTGGGGAAGCCAGATTATAAAAATCTGAAGTTGGTCCAAGAATTAAAATGAAACATGCGAGTCATATTTGTTCCTTGACATGACCATCACCTGGGAACTGCCTTGAAAAAATCTTCAAATTGAAATTGTGTAGGAATTCTGTTTCGAATTTGTCTTATCTATTTTTACATTGATAAACAATCAGAAAGACTTAGAGAACTTGTTCAAAATATTTGGTCTAATTCCAACCTACAACCTACTAACACAACTAATTCCAAAGGTTGGAATTAGTTGTGTTTACTTTAAGTTTTCTAAGTTAGGTCGGAGGTTACTTTTCCTCCTATTAAAGTGATTTAAAATATAATTTATTCACCCAGGACAGACCCTGTGTACTAAAATAAAACTCACACAAGAGTCTTATATGCTGCTGTCTTCCCTGATCTTTTGTTTGTTTGCTCGTCTCTAATAAATCCAAATCAGACTAAAGCGTTCTGAACACAAATGCATGCCAGACTTTTCGGATATTTTTTTTTTTAATAAATATCTGAATGCACTTCCTGCTTGACAATATGCACTTCTTTGTGTTGACTTTTCTTGTAAGATCCAAATAAATTACAATGAAGTATTATGTGTGCCAAATAACCAAATAAAATGTGAAAAATTCAAAGTGAATGAAAATTTTTGCATCGCTTTTAGGAGTGACTCGACTGTTTCTCTTGAATTTTGGTGGGAAAAAAAACTTGTTAGTGATCCTCAAAATGCAGTGTCTCTTGTAAAAACAATTTAAAAACTCAGGAAAAAACATTTCACAAGGAATTTCCAGCATTTGAAAATGTGCAGGCCCTAATTTAAATCTGCAAGAAGCACAATAAATGCAGTCACACAGCCCACAAATAACTTCCCTACTGTTGCAGAATCTTTACAAATCTTCCTCTTGCTCTCAACGTCTAAGTGCCACAATTTCATCCATTATTAGTCACAAAACATAAATGAATCCAATCAAAGTCTAATCCACCGTCCACTGATCATAACTTTTACAATAAATTCAAGTTGTCAAAGTTGCCTGATAAATTCTTCCCTCTAATACTTTCATATCTTTGTGTGTTGATGGTATCGGTGTAAATTAAGACTTTATGAAGGAAAGGGTGTCAAAAGGCGGCTGAGTCATTCATTGTTGAAAGAGGTTAATAGCCACAGTGAATTTCCATCATGAGGTTGTCACTTTATGTGTAATATTACCCAAGAAAATTGGTCGTAACTCAAAGATCTACAAAGGCGGGCTGTAATATGGAGTAGTCTGCACTCACTGAAGCAATTGTTGACCCTTGATGGAGCTAAACTGAGTTTGCGGAGTAGCTTGTTACATTGTAGGCGTCCGTAGAAAGCACATCCACGGATGAGAAATAGTCTGCTCGGTTGACTGAGCCTAAATATCTAAAACTTGAAGTCTGCAGTCGGTTTTAATAAAGCAGTCATGAAGTGGTGCTTGTTTTGGCTCGATTGCTTCCTTAGTGAAGGGGTTTAGCTAGAAGCCATGGTGTCTGGTTTTGCCTTCAGTATCTGACTTTAATGATAATATTGGCTCAATTCTTGTCCTCCTCTCTTCTTGCTTTCATCTTCGGTCTCCTCTCTGCAGCAGAACGTAGGCCTCAGTGTTAGTAGCTACTGTTGCTAATAAATACAGAAGGCCTTCAGGCTTTATCCAGACACAAATCCTCAGGAGAATTGTGTGAAAACAAATGGTTTCCCTCAACGATGGCGACTGCCACAATGAAATACTGCAGCTTGCAGTCTAATTCACAGGTCTGGTCCCTCAGCTGAGTGCAAATAAATTCTGTCAGGAAACAGCTCAATGTGTGTGCTGGCAATGTCCGTTTCATAGTTGAAAGTCAGGCTGATCTGCGCTGGTAGCTAACAGCTCGTGAGTCCCATCCCGTCTCGTCCTCCTCGTGTGAAGAGGATGTTGAGAGGTTAAACAGAATCACATTCAGACTGTCCAAGGACGACCTGCTGGGAAGGTCTTTGCTTAATTTGTCTTCCTGCTGCTTTGTGATTGGCTCCTTGCCATACTTTAAAGTGAAGGCAAACACTGAGAATGTCTCAGGCTCTCTGCTCTCCGTCTCTCTATTGCAGGCCACTGGGCGCAGAAGGCAAATGAAGCATCTGCTTCAATAAGAGCCCCTGTTGCACAACTCTTTGTACCTTGCTCTACTTCACATTTTTAAATGACATTTCCATGTGTTTTGTGGGACAAATTAACACAATGTAGTGAACAACTGTGAAGTGGAGTGAGAATGATAAATAGTTCTGCCAAATTTCCTCATGGTTTAAAAACTCGATGAGGCTACTCCCAGCTTGGTCAGGCTGGAAGGAGAGCATCTACGAACATCCATTTTTATGTCCTGAAGTGGTTTAAGTTTTAGACTTTCTAACACATGAATGTACTTCGATCCAAACCTTCCCATTGCTACTCTGGCTATATGTTTAGGATTATTGCTCAAACCCAATCCCAGTCTCAAATCTATGGCAGCTTCCTTTCTTCCAGGATTATCCTGTATTTAGATGGATCCATATTCCCATCTACCCTGACCTGCCACTGCAAAATAAACGCCTTTTTAATAGCCTGATGCTGCAGTTGGGATTGTGTGTTGAGGGTGATGTGTTTCATTAGTTTTCTTCCTCCTAGAACCTTTCTCTTTTTGGGGTTTAGTCCAAAGAGTTCAGATTTGATCTTATCTGATAAGAATACCTTTTTCCATTTTTGATTTGTCCCATACGTTGCTTGTGGCTGAAAGAAGGACCTTTTACAGCTTTCTTTAAACAATAGTTTTCGTATTTGAATTTAGTCCGTGTGCAGCACTGTTTTCTTAAACTATATCAAAACCAAGAATAAAAGCTGTCCTGCTTATGTCCTTCCACCTGAGCTGTATGTCTTTGCAGCTCCCCCAGAGTTGCAGTGGGTAGCGGAGCAACTTGGCGACATTTCCTGTGATGATCTTCTCCGTGAAAATAAATCAACTGCAGCTGTTCTATGAACATTAGCTCGACAAAAACAAGCTGGGGCCCATTCATTTGCTTTTTTGGATACGTTTCTGAGTATCCAATTAAGTCAAACTGATACGAGCCTCTACTAAAACAAACATTGTCTGAGGAAGCTTCAGATTGAAGTATATGATTATATATGAGGATTATTTTGAAAACAGTAACTAGAGAACCCTAAACAAATACTTCTAGATTCTAATGAGGTTTTTTTTTTCCAGATTATGAATACCTATTGAAAATAACAACCTTTAAGTAGATATTAAACATACTTTTTATTAAGCTCATATTTCTGTTGTGAGGTGTTTTATTGGCGTGATGCAATGTTCTAATCTTAAATGTCGTGGTTTTGCTGGATGTAAGCTGAAAATCATCATAATTAACATAAAAAAAGACTAAAAACATCAGTCTGTGTTTAATTAATCTATGTAATGTGCTCCACTTTGCGAATTGTGTTACTGGAGTAAATTAACTTTTCCATAATGTCAAATGTATTGAATTAGTCTGTGTACTACGCTGCGCAGCAGATGACTCATCTTTGCAGCAAACAGCTGATCAGTAAGTACATCACATACTCAGACACAGCAGACCCAAAGTCCAGGCTTATGACATCAATGAGTGTAAATTTATAAGTGATCAATCTTTAAGCAAGACAAATAGAACAGAATATGAAAGAAAGGACTCTGGTAAATATGTGGTTCAGTGCTGCCATCTACAGTTGGTTCTCTTATTTGCATCACTCTGTAATCGACCTGATAAAAGATCTAAAAGTCAACAGGTCCAAACAGCTCACTCTGCAACAGACTGTTTTGTGATGTTTGTTTAAGTCAACAATGACAGAAGTTTGAAGATCCAATTGGCAAGTTAACAATTTATTAACTTAGCGATTTACTAATTGCAGTGAGATGGCATCTCATTCCTGTAGTTGCAGTTGTTACATGCGGTTGTGTTGATCACTCTGGAACAACTGATGCAACAAGTGTTCATAGGGGTCAAAGTGAGGACTACTAGGACGCCTTTCCACCCTCTCCATCCTCTGATCCTGGAGTTGGCCTCTGATAAGGGTCAGTGACATCTTGCAGGGTGAAATCTGGTTCTTAAATGGTCTGGCCACTGGCTGCATAGTAGGATCACATCAGTCTGGACTGAAATTTTCTCTAATAATAACAATCTTTAGTTTTTCAATTATGGAGATGCCATTTCACAGCATCAAACTGCTTCCACAAAAAGCTATTTGGCTCTGGCAGAAACGATTTTGTACATTTTTGGGGGGTACAACTCACATACTTAGCTGTGCTGCCCTCTCCACCAATATGTTTCCCTTAAACTATGACCCCATTAGTTTTTTATTGTGTCAACAATAAAAACTAATCAGCCTAACAGTTTTCCTTAATTTATGTACTGAGTTAAGATGCATTTCACATAATACTAAAAAACAATGAAAGTACAAAAACTAAATAACATAAATTTGAAACATCTCAGCGTCTCATTTGCATCACCTGAGTTACATCCATACGGTTTCTGTTCACACTATTGGCAAGAATGTGTAGCTTTTATGAATTCAGGTTCTGTCAGTTTCACTAGATTTTTTTAAATCAATTGGTTTGCTCAGGTGTCTCAACGTCTTCAGGTGTCAACAATCAACTCATTAACTTGGTTGAGATAAAAGCTGCTTTCTGGGTTCAGTCTGTAGTTGAGCTCTCCTGTTGAAGTGTTCCTGCTGAGTGTGTGAGTTGGGTATGAGTGACTGTCTTTTATAGAATTTTGAAGTTGTTTAAGAATCAGTTCAAGGTGTGTTTTGATTTCTGAGCCTTGTTGTGTGTTTCTTTGAATCCAGCCTAACGATGTCTGGCCGAGGAAAGAAAGCTGCATTCAACCCAAAATCTACAGTGTCCCGTTCCTCCAGAGCAGGACTCACTTTCCCAGTGGGCCGCATTCAAAGGCTGCTCAGAAACGGCAATTACGCAGCGAGGATTGGCGTCGGCTCTGCTGTGTACCTCTCGGCCGTCCTGGAATATCTCTGCGCTGAAATCCTGGAGCTGGCTGGAAACGCCAGCCGTGACAACAAGAAGCAGCGCATTGCGCCGCGCCACATCTTGCTGGCTGTGAAGAACGACGAGGAGCTCAAGAACCTACTGGCAGAGGTCACCATCTCGGACGGTGGGGTGGTGCCAAACATTCATGCAGCCCTCCTACCAAAGAAGACCTCAGGTCCAAGGGAAGGTGCAACTGCCAAAGATGTCCTTTCTCAAGAATCTTAATTGTGGCAGACAGGAAGTTTGTTTTAAATCAAATTTGTAATGCTCTAAAACTTTATACTTTAACTTATTAAAGCTTAATTTGTATTAAACTTCAGTTTGAAGTGCTATTAACTCTGACCTAGGAAATGACTCAAGCTAGTGACACAAGCGCCCTAATATAATCCAGACCACAGTGAGGTGCACAGTGTTCAGAAACTTGAAGGATTCTTAATGTGTTATGGTATGATCGGCTCGAGTTCATACACCCTCCATCCATGGGAGGCGGTGTGCCTGTTGAACGGTGCTACAGCTAACCTTGTGAAAAGTTGACTAGGGCACAGACTTCTTATGAAGTCTGGAGCTGCTGCATTAAGCACTGCAGAGCGCCAGGGTTTGAGCTACAGAAAGAAGATTGCTCAGTGGATAAATTTGGGTGGAAGGCTATTGTGTGGTTCATTTGGCACTCAGTGTCCCAAAGTAAGGAACAGTGGGGCTGCTTCTGGTCCAATATGATCTTTCCAGTCTGCTTTAAACTGCCATGACTCTTGCTGGTGTTGGTGCAAGAGTCATGGTAGAGCACTATTTGTAATTTTCAGCACTTCATGCTCTCATGAGCTTTATGGGAATCCTCATTTCATTTTCCAGAAGGACTTTGGACCTGTACTTCCCCTGACAAAATTACCTAAACCTTTGCTCATATCCTCAGAGGTCCTATACTGGCTTAAAAGGACATCCAGGGGAATCCTAGCTTAAGAGTGATTCAGTCATTGCTGAAAAAGAAATTTCACCGCCTCGCTGTGTGAGACGTCTTCTCGGGACCATTAGATGCAGCAAGAGAAAAAACTCTGGCAAGCAACTGATAGAAATGAAACAATCTAGTCTGGATCAAGAAAAGTGTCATGATAAAATGCTACATTTAATTGCCAAAATGCATCAACATGTTTGCTGTTGTCTTATTTATATATCCACCATTGCTTGTCAAAGTTTCTCATTATTCTTTTACTCATCTAATTCTGAGCTCACAAACCTTTTTTCAACCGAGTTGTACTTCATGGGTACCAAGTAATATGAAGGCCTACTAGTTTGATTAACTTTTTAACCTAATTATTGGAATAAATAATTTAAAATATATGGCATCAGTACATCCCTCATCTTGGTAACGAAGTGTATATTCCTTGGAAGATTTCTAAAGTCAAATTTTCATTTTGAAGGAGAAAAGCAACTTGCAGATCATTAAACGTCACAGATGTTTTGCAGCAGTGATCTAAACATATAATCAACCCAAACAGCTCTCCTTTTTTGTACTTCAATGTTTCTTTTTTTAATGTAGTACTAAAATTCTACATTTATTCTTTGAATGGGTTTCTTTTTAAAAGTGTATTTATTACATTTTTGTCCTTTATTTCTTGTAAAAAACGTTGATTATTATGTGACACAACTGCATGCCATACAGGTGCGTTAGCTAAACGTGCCTTGCGGCTACGTGCTTACGTATGACGAGTGCAGCTACGTGCTGACGTATGACAAGTGCACAACAAACAGTTGTTGGACTTCAACAGGCTAGCGGAGGAGAACGTTGGACAAAAAAAAAAAAAAAAAAACTGGCTCAGCTGACTCCTCCCGGAGCCGGAGACACAGCCGAGAGCTAAATGGTGGGAATATCGTAGCCATAGTCTTCCGACCGTGAGCACCGGCAGTCGCGGTGCGTTTCCTGAGCGCCGAGCTTTAGCCACCGAGGCATGTTCATTGCTCGGAGTGCGACGCCTGTTTTTTTTTCCGCCGCCGCTGGCTGAGGGTTGTGATGCGAGCACAGAGAGTTGCGCCACGACAGAGGGTGAGACCGAGACCTGCGGAGGGAATATATTTCATCTTCTTGTCGCGGAAGAATGAGCTTGGAGAAACTGTCGGGTCGGTGTAAAGAAGCAGGCATGCTACCCGACTCGGGCCTGGACCTCATTGTTGGACAACAACTTTAGCAAGCTAGCAACGAGTTAGCTCGCTTTAATTCACGCTGATGACTTGGCTCCTTAAGCTCCCCGAGCGACCTGTTCGTTTTAGTGGATTGGCCTGGCCCTGTTTGTTCCGGCTGGTAATATGCTGACGACCAGGGAGACATTATTCGCCCCCTAAACGAAGCAATAAGATAGGACTGCCAGGAATACAGCGCTTACCTGTGCGTTCAGTTATTAATTAGGCTTTGCAGTTCGGTTTATGAACAAGTGCAAACAGTTTTGCACGGAAGCGAACGGTTTCTTGTTCAATGACATTTCAACCAAATTGCACTTTATTTAGTCGGCTCGTGACGACATTTGACGGCTGTTTGTTGAAGTATGTTGTTCTCACATCGAAGACAAAATACAGGCGGGTAGATGTTCCTCACACACTTGAATGACCAAAGCGGGGACTCGTCAGCTTTAAAGTCGGAGAGAGGAGCTCGTCTGTTCCAGGTGGTCGCCGTCGTCTTACCTGCTGACCACACGGTGTGTAACAGCTTTGCAAGCTGAAATGTAAACATGAATTTCGACGAGCAGCGTCTCGATGTGCGTAATGTCAAGACAAAGGCCAACGTGGACGATGATCACAACACTACCAATAACACAGAAGCGGTCACCCCTCGTATTTCAGAACTGATGACAGACAGTGGCATAGAGAAACAAACCAGTGTTCCCACAGAGGCCTCTGAGACCTACCTTATGCCTCAGCTCACTGACAATCTCCAGACAGCTGAGGAGGACAACCAAGACACACTGGAAATTGATGAAGTCAATGGAAATAAAAGGAGCTGTGCCCAGGACACCCCTGCTGTAGATAATCCCACTGACTTGATCTCATCCAAGGATGAGCAGCACAAGATTGTTATAGAGGAGGTGGAGGAGGCGAACATGAAGGAGGACAGGGACAGCAACTCTGCACAAGCTGCTGTGGAGGCAGGGGACGATGGCGTGGACATGGACATCGGGGTGGATCTGAGTCTGGACGAGAGCGGGGTGCTGGAGGCAGAGTCTGCGATCGCCACGTCGATCTCAGACAGCACTTTGAACTCCAAGTCCAGTCCTCAGGACGTCCCAGCCGGCAGGACAGCAGAAGGCCAGGCAAATGCAATCCAGACATGCAGCACCGAGGCGTCTGCCGCTGATCTAGCTGGACTGTATCCCTTGGTGGAGGAGGGGGAAGTGAAACACAAACAGAGCGGGAAGAGGGTGACATTTCCTTCAGACGACGACATTGTTTCTGGAGCGGTGGAGCCGAAGGACCCCTGGAGACATGGTAGTACTTGTCATTTTCTGCATGTCTGTATGTGTAAATGAACTTTTCTATTTACTGTGCTGCCGTTTGAGACGTGTCAGTTCACCAGGGACTTAACCACAGATGCACCACTCTGTCTTTTCCTAACTCATTCCTATTTTCTTTTGGGGACTTTTAAGATAACATTTTCTCGATTTCAGTTTCGAGCTGATCAATTTATGCATTTGTAGCATTTTTAAATTATTATCTAGCTGCAGTGTACTTTAACCATTATCTCTTTTAGGCATTGGCAATTTCATATCAACATATGCCAAGGATTTTAAGTTTGGATTTGAAAACCACTCAAATTAAAAATAATAATAATAATAGCCAATGTAAGATGGCACCAATGTAGCTGGTGTCTTTATCCAGTCGAATAGTGCTCTTTGCTGCACGCTGCCAATCAGCAGGCTGAGAGAACACGCTACACTTTGTCCGTCACAAAAGAAAAAAAACAAAGTTGGTTGTTTGGAAATATTTCCAGTTGTAGAAAAACATTCACAGTTCTATTGTAAAAACTAAAGAAGCATTCTATTTAGGATGGGAAAGTTTCAGAGATACAGTTTGTTAGCTAAGAGGTGCTTAACTTATAAACTAAACTACATTGCAGCAAACTACAATAATCAGGAGGTTTTATTTTAGCAGGAATGAAAATCACAGTTTCTTTATTGTTTTTTATAGATACATGTATATAAAAAATTAGATTAGGTTGTGTTACAGATTTCCACTGTACTCGGGAATCTCAGCTAGAAAGATCCAGTTCAAAACGGATCCGTCCAGCGTATGGAACCACAATCATCTGCACATCAACAAAGATTTGGTCATGTCAATTTAAGAATGATTAGTAAGATTAGGTAGGTGTGCTGTTGGGGAGATTGGTGGTATAAAAGAAAGATTTATTCACGAACAGTATTAGGACTGAAATCAAATGAGTCATGATCAATCAATTATTGAAGTGATTAACTACTTCTTAACATGACTATACAGACTCTAAAAAAGGCCATTGCTGAAAAGGGTTATAATTATAAAATCATAATTATTATCCAACTATTAATAAAAAAATAAATAAATTATCAGATTAGCAGAAGGCATTTTTTAGCTGCAGATGCAGCCTTTACTACAAATGATCCAAATACATGAGGGCTTTTAGGCAATAACATGTTTTTATTAATAAAAAGAAATGTCAGTATTTTCATCTTTTAATTGGTTGAATAAAAGAAAAACAACAGAATGCGCAAACTTTTTTTTTAACCGATTGATAATCAAAATAGTTGCTAAAATAATCTTTAGTTGTAGTTCTAATCAATATTATTATCACCCTACTATCACACACTAACTTAAAACGTTCCTTCGCATATCTCACGTTGTCCGTTAAAATTTTGACGGCTCGATGAATGTAGTCATTCATCCCAAAGAGGTGTGTTAGTCTTAAAGAGAATTCCTCCTTTGTGTCTTTCGCCAAAGCGGCTGCTTTGTCAGTCCGCTGTTTAATCCTCAGGTTGCACCCAAACCCCCAGCCCTACTTCAAACAACTTCTAATAGATAAAGAGCATAATGGGTTTTCTGGCTTTGCTGCAGTCAGAATAGCCAAAGCATAACTCCATGTCCAAGTATGGCGGCGCAGTGAGCGCTGTAAGCGAATCCCTCCACTCCTTGAGGTGTGCCATTTTACCACAGTAGGTTCCTGTTTGTTCAGCGAATGCACACTTTGGAAAACTGAGGATGTGGCACCGCCTTTACTTAGACACATAGGGAACCCAGTGTGTGGTGTTACAATGAAGCAGACATTCGTAAAAGGTTTTTGGAGGGAATTGCTTTTTTGTGTGTGTAGGACTTAAGTATTTATTTATCAGAGAGACTTTTTTTCCAGTCAATTTGTACATTTTGTCTTTACCTAAAGCTGAACATGCTTTTGTTTACTTGTTTTTGTTTATATTTGGTTCCTTACACAGTGAGCAGGACAGGCTTTGCTTTAACAGTAGCTTAGCAGTGGCCAAGCTGGAAATTTGTGTGTGACTCACACGTTCCTTCATCTGGTGTCAACAAAGGACACCATTTACTAAACAGCCTTCACAGGCCTAATGTGAAAACTGTTGTTTGCTCACAGTAATGTGACTGCCGTTGGCATAGTTACACACTTGGCTGGTTCAAGACGATCGCATGCGG